GAGATACGAAATTACTCGCTGAAATGATGTGGCCGGCTTACCGAGTCTGCCGAGTAACAAGTTGAAATTTTGAGCGTACTCCACTCGATCGCTCCTGCATTTATACTAAAAAATTAGTTCTTATTGATGTCCTTCATCGATAAAGACCAGAGAATAACGTCCTGGCAAACAAAAAACAAACATGACTTCATCAAAACCTCAGTCACCTCTTCTTTCCTGTCTTCCTTTTTTCCATCGGCTCGACTTGAATTGTTCAGCGGCAGACGTCTCTTGCGTTAACAAGTAGGCCATATACCTGTCGCTTATTTCTTTTTTTCTTGCCACCAAGATTTGTTTATATTTCTGTTTCACCGAATTGCAGTGAGCTGGCTTTCGTACTCGGTTTCAATGTGAAGTTTGGGCCAACATGTTTGCCGCTTTTCTCCAGCCATCGTCCACTTGTCGAGCTTCTGATGCTTCGCAGACCTACAAAATCATCCTGTTTCTTTGAAGATATACGCGTCCTTTTTGATTGCAAACAGCAAATCACTACTAAACATTAAAATCAGAAAGCATCCCACGTAACTGTATTTAAAACGAAGTCCGTACAAAGTTATTTTAGGTAGAATCCGTGCTAAACACTCTGCAAGTTCTATGAAAGTCTTCATTTGCAATTTTTGTTTATCCTCCAACGCCTCGCTTTCATGACTAGGCACCAGTTTTTTCCCGCGTGTCCGCCATTTGTGAATACGGTGTATAAATTATTTTCGATTCCGAATTCTGCCTCTCACGCTTTTAAAAACGAGTTTTAAGTTGCTCGATACAGACGTTCCAACAACTCACTGAGTATATGTTTTGGAGCTATTTTGCTAGCAGAAAAATTCGAAACAAAAACAAATGAAACAGAAAGAAGCCTTCATTAATGCGTTTCCAAGCGACAGTTTTTTGCGGGAGTTTAATTTTGCCGATTACGTAATTTTTTTTACATCTCTTCGGGAAATAATTTTTGCGATTGACTAAGAGGTCTGTTTTGTCTTTTCAATCTGCAGTATATTTTGCAATCTTAAAAATTCGAACTCAGTATTCGTGCACTTATAAATTTCCAAAGGGTAGAACTTGTAAAAAATAAATCCACATGATCATGATAGGCGGAGTTGATTGGCATCTGCCAAATCGTAAAGTTATGTTTTTACGTTCGGCCTTTTTTCTGGTTGATACTGCAATTTTTTCTGTCTTGAGCCGCTCAAACAAATAAGTCTTGATTTGATTGCCCTGAGAATATTCTTTCTGTAAGTTGAGTACACTCTATCCAGTGAGAGCAAAGAAATCAGAACTCGAGGTCAGAATGATTTTATATCAAAAATTGTTTGTCGTTTGCATGTCTTGCAAGTACTAACACCCATGCCTCCACTTCTTAGCGTGATAACCATGAAATTCCTAACAAAGTAATGTTTAAAAAATATCGATCACTCCCGAAAGTAACGACAGACTGCTTCGTGAATTACACCGCTTTAGGATGTTGGTCTGGTAATATTCTGCATTGCGTGGACCATTGGCTCTTTATTTGGTAAAGGGAAGAATATTAAACGGGGACAGTGCAAAATAAGCGAACTTTTGCTAGCCGACTTTTTGAGCTGTTTACCTTGCCTGGAAGCCTTAAGCTAAACACTCAAAGGAGGAGTGCACCAAGTATGTGTGCATTTAAGGAGGAGGAACGGAGCGTCCTTATTTCTGTGACATTAATGAAAGGAATTACAGAGTACAAAACTGTGCCCGAACTATTGGCATCACGTTCTGTATGTAAGTGAAGGGTTCAACCATGTGACAGCTACTTGAAAGAAAGATTTCTTTTCTTAATTGTTTGTTTGTTTATTTTATTTTATTATTATTTTTTTTGCCATCCACATTTCTCGTTTTTTTTTCTTCTTACTTTTTTTGTTATCCGCATTTTTTTTTCCATCCGCATTTTTCTATCCGCATTTTCCCATCCGCATCCGCCATCCGCAGGTATCCGGTCCGCGTTTTACAGACACCCCTTGAATACTGATATTATGGCTTTCTCGGGCGTCTCAGGGTCGATGGAAGAGGGTTTCTTCACGAAAACGCCAATCTTGAAAAACTGTCCGCCGCCACAGAAATCAAGTTGCCGCACATGCGCAGAAGCGTGTCACAGTCCCTTTAAGCTTCCTCATTCTGCCTTGTCATCATGTGTATGGGAAGCCACAACGTTAACGTTCTTATGTGGTTTGGTCAGTTTGGCGTTGAGGTTTGACAGTGACGTAATGTACTCTTGTCATGTTGTGATGTGGTTACGGTCGACTGCCGATAACTCGAACCTTCAAGGGAAATCGAAGAAAGTTCGAGTTATCGGGAGTTCGAAAAACTACCCACAAAAGATTTGTAATTTTCACATGTAGGTATTTCAAATTAAGCGGAAATACCACTGCTGTAAGCCAATCAAATTGCAGAAATTTCTCATGTAGTAGTATAACAAAACGTCCCTCTCAAAGATTATAAAAACACCATGGTGGCACTCAGCTGCTTCATTTACTAAGTGTTACTGGATAGAGAAACTGAGACAGCACCGTCAGTTGTCCAGCGATGTGCTTACATGTTGAGCTGTAAAAGTTATTACGTATCACAATAAACTATTAAACCTATTATTGTGCGATAAATTGCTTTGAAATCTCACGTGACGTCTTAGTGCAGTGATAAGAGGGAGTCACTGAAAAAATAAACAAAACAAAACTTTAGTACCTGTAAGTTTGAAGTTTGATTGGGAATCCTGCATGCCGAGTCACCGGTAGCACAAGGAGACAGTCCCTTACCTAACATGGGGGAACATAGGACATCTATATCCCTCCCGCTCTTATGACTGCCTTTAAAAAAATGAAGGGGGAGAGGGGTGGGGGGAAAGTCCATGAATAAATATAAAAAAACAAAAACACGTGTAAAAAAAACAAAACAAACAAACAAGCAAAGCATATCAAAGAGCATTAAGCCGAAAAAATATATAACAGCCAAGGAAAAAAACAGCAGCAACAATATACGTACACGAAGACTTTTGTTCTTGGGCCATCGAAGCTTAATAAAAGATATGCATATGCTCACTTTGCACACTTCGCGAAATTTGCGAGCCTAAAAGAACTGAAAGGCAAAGGATAAACTCTCCTATTCCCTTCACTTTTCTAATGGTTCTTCCCTAAATTTGGAAGGTTTACACCACTGAATAATCCAACCATCAAAGATTGTACATATCATCACCCTTAAGATCAGGAAGCGACTTACTCCAACAAATTTGTTTCGACAGCATACCTACGGCGCAATTACTTTCACCGCATATCACAAAACAATAGAAGTCAAATAAGTCAAATAAAAAGAAATTTGTAAGAGGAGAGGAGAGTTAATAAACTCAGGCAAACTCATGCCCCAGTATACTTTTTTAGACAAAGGCAAATGACGTAAAATAATGTGATTTTAGGCAGCCGGACTTTGATCGGGGTAATCAATTAAGTTAATTTATGCAGAAACAGGAGTGGACGTTTATAATGAAATTAATTTCAGACAATTGACATTTCGCGCTTCATTGGTCATTGAATTGCAAATTCTTACATGTTGTTGCTGGCAACGCTGGGCTCTCTGACTACCAATTTACCCGAGTAACTTATCTGGCTTTTACTGTACACGCAAGAACTTAGTCTATGAAGAAAAAAGAGGTAACTTGCCAATTAAGATGGAGAAAATGACTTTACTCACGACTAACATGGATATTTATCGGCATCCACGACATGTACCTGGGTAAGCAGTGAACAGACCCGCTCGCTGGTGAAGTGTCAACATTGAAATTTCACTGACATAACAAACCAGGGTCAAATTAATTACCACACGTACAATATCCTTACGCCGGCCGAATTTCCATCAGCCAGTCTGTTAAAATGTTTCGAGTATTGAGCTTAATTTCTTAGTTTTTAAAAACTTCCTGCCATCTGAGTCACGTTTTAAACTTTAATAGCTCGAACAGCTGGTATGAAAAGCAATGTTTCGATGTTTTGGAGGAATCAAATAGAAATGCACTCGTTATGGTTCTTTCACTGGTTCTATCTTATGATTTCTTTTACTTGAGGGAAATTTCTTTTAGTTTCTTACTGTTTGGATAGGGTAAACTGAGTTTTCTTGTAAACGAATGTCATTCAGGTTTGTGTATCAAATTTCGTCAAATTAGATACTGTACTGCACTGTCTAGGCGAGATAAAATCTTCTGTGATTCATTAGTCATCGCGTGCGCTACGTCCACTTAAGATCACAAAACGTGGCACAAAAATCGTGCCGTGCGTGAAAGTTTCTGCTTTGTTAAGGAAGCGAGCGTGAGCGTGAAGCCGGCGCGTGAGTTAACTTGCATGTACGTTACCTTAAAATATAGATATGGGGAGTTGTTTTGCAAAAAATAAAACAGTTTTGAGTTCATAATTCTTCTATTATAACTTATATCGGACGGCGTTCAGAGAAAGCTTCGATGGCCTGGGAACACTAATGACAAGACAGACCACTTTTTAAGGCTTTCATCATTCATAGATTCATATGATGAAATGGCTCAGGAAAGGAGAAATGGGGTAGGGGAAGGGAGTGAGGGTCAGCATTTGTCAGAAACTATGAGAACAGGAAGTAAAGCTTTAGGGGTAGGATATATACGAGTGTAAATCAAAATCCTTTGTAATTTCTACCATCTTTAGCTACCTTGGATACACACCGCGTATCAAGTTTACTTATGGAGAAACGTATGGTAACACAACTGCCCGCTGGTTTCAAGACTACCGGGCCTCACAGCTCAACACAAGTAAAGAACGTATGGGGAGGGGTGGAGATAAGTTTCTACCCTTTCCAACGTACTACACAAATAACCCAGATCACGTGCTTGGCGCACGCACGAGCTCTAGAGATCGTTGGCTTGCCGCACCGAAGTACAAGCTTTTGAACTTAGACGACAGAGATACAGCCATCAAAAAATACGACAAGGTGGGCTCCCTGTTCAAACATCTAATCCCAGCTGTTCAAAAGGTGGATATAGCTATCCACTACAAGCGGATAGCGCAATGAAGGTTTTCCTATACTTATCCCCAGGATAATGATTTATCCGGTGAATAGCCCTAACCAGCATTTGAACCACCGGGGCACTGATGTTTTGAAGCAATAATTTTAGCAGTTATGCTGTAGGATTTCGCCTATAGACAAAAAAAGTATGAATATCTTCCACTGACATGTCACCATAAATTTTTCTGACAGTGAGTGTGTTGAAGGAGGTGAGTAGGGGTGGGGGGTGGGGGGCGTTGGCGGAGGAGAATAGAAGGGAATTTGGTTGGTCTTTCTTTCTCTCCTTCCTTTTCTTTCCAGATCAGCCATTCCTGGTAATCGTACATTATTGACATAGGTGGATTTAGTATAGGTGCCTTCTGCCGAGTTATATCGGCTCTTTAAGGGTAAGCAAAAAGAGGTTTATGTCAAATCGATCAATCAATCAACTGAATCAAATCTAAAAAATGGTGTCGTACCCGCTAGATGAGTGAAGATTGAAAGTTCATATTGTCCTGGCTGGTTAAGTAGCCACACGCCGTTATAAAATGGTTCAAAAGCCGGCTGACGTTTCGGGCGGTAGTCAGAGCAAAACGCACAAAATCACGTCAGTTATGATAAAAACCATTTTGATGAAAAAGATCAATGCCTTTTTTTTATTGAAACCCGTTCTCTTGCGTTTTAATTTTCGCGGCCCGCAAGAATATAGGGATAACAGAGGCAGAAGTTTCAATAAGGTATACGACAAAAAAAAAAAAAACAGGTTAAACTTTTCTCCAGGCCTGACGTTCAGAAATGACGTTTAAGTGAAGGTAGGAACGCGAAATTTCCTTACAGTTTATTTTGTAATGCCATGGACAGTGTTTGAATGGAAATACCTAAATGATAATAATAAAAAAAAACACACATAGGAGGATCTGTGTGTACAGGGCGTTCCCAAACCAGGTACTGTAGATACTGATTTATTTTTATTGCAGACTGCTCAACAGCATCGTGAACATTACCGAGACAAAACAGAAACGGTTCCACCAGTGAGGATATTTATTTTACCAAAAATATTTCATGACACCAAATGCCACAGAATTCCAGTGTAAGTATCCGTTCGCCGTAAACGTGATCTTTATTGTAACGATCACAGACCCCCGGTGAAAAAACCGCACATAACCACAATCTCCTAACTCGCTCTGATGAAGGTTTAGCACTTGAAACTTCATTTTCTCTATCAACCTCGTCCCCGGGGGTCTTCCCTTAAAAAAAAAGGCAGGGCAAAAGGGAAAAGCGCTAAGGACGAAGTTGAATCTCATATCTCCATATATACACCAAGGCCAATCTACCCTATTGACTTAATAAGAAAAACCTTGTATTTCACCACCTCCCCCAACCACCTAACGCTACGGTGCCTTTCGATACAAACCCCTTCAGGGGTTTTAAGGCGCCCCCAGGTGTGCGCAGGTTTGGCAGGTAGGGTTTTTGGGCGCGAAGGCGTAGTGCGAGACATGCACCCAAAAACCCGCTTGAGCGCTTTCAATAACGCCTGTTGCCCTTGTACGTCATGATCGCGTTCCAGATCATATCAAAATCAAGGACAGGATAAAAATTGTTCCTTAGCTGCAGCCTTTTGTCATCAAACTATTCGCAAATCTGGCTCAAGGCCTTAGGAATTTTTCAAGAGAGAAAATAACAGATTTTATGTTGTAAATCCTCTTTCAGGGAGGCTAAAACAGCAAACGAAGAAAAAGCTATCGCTTACGCAAACAAAGTTTACAAAACCATGAAGGCAGAACCGCTAGCGAAGTCATCGGTGGAAACGCGCCGAATACGAGACGTGTTCTTCGAGAGGAGATAGATGAAATCAATGTTGCCTTTTTGTATTTGTGAATTGTAAATAATTTGAATGGCATTTGCTTTTATTTTTATTTATTTTATTGACAAAATAAAATAGAGTGCACGACAATATGTAACTGTTTAAACGTATTTTGCACAAGGAACGATGAAATTGAGGACTCTTATTTAAATTCCCGTATTGGAGACGCGACCACCAATTCTACGTAGTCCTGAGTCAGTTGAAAGTCTTGCAATTTGCACAGCCTCTTTGTCACCCCCCCCCCCCCCCCCCCCCCAAACTTTTTAAAAGTATTTTTCACAGAGAACAAAGAAAATGAGGGACTTTTTTAAAGTACCCGTTTGGGGGACGCTCCCCCCAATTTTACGGGGCCCCTGGGGAGTTAAAATCTTTGAAATTTGGCCGACCCTTTTTTCCCCCCCCCCCCCCCCACCGTGTCATTTCCCCGATCGCATATAGGTGGCGATTTTCAAATACTTTCTGCCTCTGTTGTAATACAATCAGCTGGCGTTACGACTCATCACTATTCAGTATTTACATTCAATAGCAAAAGGAGAAGACTACGAGTAGTCGCCCCTCGGTCAGTTTCCCTGCAAGGGAAGATACAGCAAATGAAATACGAGAGCGTGAGTGAAAATCACACCATCGAGGACGGTCACACGCATTTCCCACGTCTCGCCTCTCCTCGCACGCAGCGATTTTCACGAGCGTTCGAGTATTTCATGCGCTCAACTATTCCAATGGAAAAAACATTTTTTTGTGTGTTTTTTTAAATCTATTTATTCATTCATATTTCTACATGAAAACAAACTTTAAATATCATCTGTTCGCAAGTAGCCAAGCTAATCGAGGCGGTGAAGGTACACATTCACAAAGAAGAAAAAAAAGAAGCAATCGAGTCGTTCTCTTCTTGAAGAGATTTAACAATAGGGTTTCGCTTTCTTGTCATAATTATAGATAGTCGAAGTTTTAAGTCCTCAGTCCTCAGACGCGTTCTCACAGTACTGGAGAACACGCAACACCCAATGTTCAACAAAGGAAAAGATATACAGCTATAAAACAGGTTGAGTATGATCGTCCGGGTGAACTTAGTCCTGGCATGAATAGGACTGTTGTTGTTGACAATGACTGACGTTTCGACAACGAGTGCGGTAATCATCTTCAAAGTCAAAGTGAGTTGTATCACGTCAGTTGATGTTATTAAACTCTGGTTTCAAGCAAAACTAACTACGAGAGAACGACTGGACAACTGACAATTTGACTGACAATAAACGACTGTTTAACTGTTACAATAGACAGATCGAAACGCACCAATGACATTACGAGCCTTCATAGCCAATAACATCACGGCTTAACTGACAAACGACCAATAACATCACGACTTTAAATTGACTAATGAGGTCATTAATTAGCGTTTAATACCATCAACTGACGTGTTTCAAGTCACTTTGACTCCGAAAATGACTACCGCACAGGTTGTCGAAACGCCAGTCACTGTCAACAACAACAATTCTATTCAGGACTATGTTCACCCCGGGACGATCGTACTCAACCTACTCATGAAATGACTCCTGGGTGCAAACCTTGCACAAACATAAAAGTGTCGCAAAGTATTTGGTCTCTGAAAAAGGTTTATTCAAGACTGCTGGCACATGTATAAAGCTATTTACAACAGAACTTTATGTAACTTGTTTCTTGCTTTGCTTTCATGGTCTACATGACCGTATTTATAGTAAATGCGTTATCATCATTTTCAATTCCAGTTAATACGAGTTAAATTGTGTCTACCATGGATTTTAATCGTGTTCCTTTTACAGTGACTTTATTTCCTAAGTATGTTGCAATGATCTGTTAAATGAGTTGTAAGCTTGTTCCAAATCAAACAACATCTGTCGCACTTGCTCATCTGTCAGTTCATCGCTGGCTTTCATACTGCTCAAGGTCTCATACCTGGAAATCATGCAACAGTTAAATTTTAGATCAAAAGCAATAAAAAAGGCGATAACTACCCGACATATTTTTGAGTAAGTAAATAGGGATGAGATTTAAGCCACTTTTACGCTCGGAGAAAAAAGGGCACTTTATTTGAGTGTCAATGTAATCAGCACCGAAGTACTAATTGGGGACACTGCTTTCATGCCTGTACTAGAGACGGGACCACCATTTTACGTGGTCATCCAAGCCACACGAAGTTCTAGTCGTTTGCTGGGCAAAGGCAGTACCTTGATTTTTCTCAGTTGTTTTAAGACCCTGAGTATTGGTGTGGCCCTGGGAATGGAACCCAGGACCTTCCGCTCTACAGTCAAGCGCTCCACCGACTGAGCTAAATAAATCCAGTGCCGCGGTCGAGAAGAAACAGAACAGAAAAGATGGAGGTTGTCTCGAGTATGCCACCCAGCTACTGGGAGACTCGTGGTAAGCTCTGACATTTGACTTGGTTCTTGAGGCTTTTTTCTTCCCAGTCGTTTTTTAGTCCTGACTCTTCAAAAGCTCAGTATTAAGCTTGTTTTTGGCTGCTTTCTTCATCTTTCTCTTCACGAGATTTTGACTTCTGACATTGCCAATTCTACAGTTGCAGGTTGCCTGTCCCACAAGACCTCGCTCGTGCAGTGTGGTGGCTTCAATTCCCGCTGAAGACACATATTTTTCATTTGCCTCATGATTGATAAATCTAGCTTAAGAATGACCAAGCTCGCAACTGTTACTGAGTGGCTAAAACGTTCGACCTGTAGAAGTTTTAAGTTGCACTTTTCTGGGGAATTTTCATCCCATTGCTAATGGAAAGCGGCTCAATCACCCTGTCAATAACCTCCTTTTCACGATAGGGATTGTTGTTTCTCAGTCTCAAAAGCCTTCGCTTCATTCGGAATAATGTTTTTTTTTCTACCATTAAGCGAAAAAACTAGGAAAGGACGTATAGCACAGTTCATTGATATAACTGCCTTTTTTTACTCAAATTAAATTACACTTTTCTTCCATAAAAACGCTGTGCACCCAAGCTGGACAGTTGACAAATGTAACCAACAGTTCTGAAGTTTAAAACTTCTTAGAGTGAACTTTCACAAAGTTAAGTAACAGATATAACTTTAAACAGTGACAATGACAACCGTAGCTTTGAATTGCCTTGCTTAACGTTTGTTGTAGATGTACATGTGTTAAGTTTGAGCGCGGTCAAGATTCCCTTCCCGACCCTGCCATCCCCGGCCTTGACTGGGAAAGAGTGACTGTTGTTTGAGCTATCACGTGATGGTTTATTGCGTCACGACTCGAAAACGTTTTTCTGACCTTTAGGCCTGATAACTAATCAGACACCACCAAATCCTGGACCTAGTTATGAAGGACACTTACCAATGGTTAACTTTCACCTTTCCTTCAAAATCTTCGGGAAGAGAACTAAGGCTATTCATGGTATCCATCAGGTCTCTCAGATCTGGATGAATCTATAATTAAAATACACGGCCGCTAGCGCTGTTCAGAGTGTTAGCATGAGAGAAAGCATTCCATTTTGGGGGACATTGCAAGAAGTACGCGCGAGAGACGCGCCTTTGCCGCCCGCCCGCGTGTTCTCCCGCAGGTTTGCTTCTCGCGCCGCATGAAGAACTTGCGTTATCAGAGTGAAACCTGAACTCACATTCTCATTGCCAGGTTGTTTTCGAAATAAAGCTTACACGGGCTTTGCCTATTAAAGATTATATGAAGTGCGTAAAATGTTGGAACCTCGACATAACGAACGTCCTGGAGACTGGCTAAATTCGTTCGCTATAAAGAGATTTCCTTATATCGAGGCTTTTTTCGTTTGTCATATCGAGGTCCTCGTAGCCTGGGACCAGGCTCCGCATTGTGGAAAAAAAGGAGAAAAATCGGCGTTGGCGAAAAAAAAAAAAAAAATCGGGGAGCGAAGCGAGCCGATAGGTAGCCTGGGGCCACCCTTTCCCCCTTCCCAGGATACCGCTCGGCTCGCTTCGCTCCCCGATATTTTCCTATTAGACCCCGTGGGCTATTAAGGCATCGTGCCGTCATACTGTGTTGGACGAACAGTTTACGGTCAAATCGCCCGAAAGTCATCTCGCCCAAAGTTATGTCGCCCGAAATTTTTAGTCAAGTCGCCTGAAATTTTATCATGCTGAGCAACAAACATCCTACATCTAAATCGCGCTTGTTTCGTTTCATCAAATCTTTACTCTACTCTATTACTCATTTGACGTGCTTGCTTCATCAAAGCTAAAAGAACGAAATATGTTACACATTCATCTCGCTTGTTTCGTCATGATACACATTCATCCCGCTTGTTTCGTCTCACGATAGCATTATTGCTTAAGGAGAGAGACTTAATTACATAATTTTCCCGGTTGTTTTGTCTCATTATCGCTTAAAGAACGTGATATACTGTATATTACATACACTCTTTATTAAAATTTCAGGCGACTTGACCAAAAATTTCGGGCGACATGACTCTGGTTTCGGGCGAGATGACTTTCGGGCGACTTGATCGGTTACCGGAGTAACTTTCTCTTTTTGGGGGTCATATGAAGCTTAAACCACGCCCAAATTGGTCTCCTTTAGGGTCTTAATTCTAAATTTCATATGAGCACCCCGGTCTCTTTCCTGGAAGAATTTCAAGTCTAGAAATGTTACTATGCATAGCGATCCTCTTTTGAAAAGTCTACTCTGCAATTTGAGGTAATCGCTAAATTTAAGACTTTTTTTGAATGCAACTTGAGTATTATTTTTAATCCAGGTTGTTTGCATTTCTGACCATTCACGGACAGATGTGAAATAACTTTGTCAGTGAGCTTGAGGATTTGGAAAAATGGCCCTCAGCTGAAAGAAACCTTACCATACATTAATTAATACCAGACATAATTTATACATATACCGTACAGAAACAAACATTTTCTGTACAAAGTATTCTAAAATCATAAATTAGCTTTTAAGGATTACTATACTGCGGCTGTGGACCTGGAAACTTGGGCCCAGTAATATTGGGATTAAACTGCATAAGCATACCTCATCCATTGCTCTGATTTGAAGTCGTAGTTTGTCCATTATTGTTATAAAAAGCTGCAATAAAACTTTCATGTTAGGTGGAAAATAGTCTCCCTTGCAGCTGTTTTAGTTTTCTTAGTGTTGTCATGCTGCGCGGGAGACTAAGAGGAAAGTAACCACCACAACAACAAAATTATATTAAATTTTTTCTTGCAATGAGACCACTCACACAGCTTAACAAATATACGAGGTAATGGGGTATGGATAATAAATATTTTATAATCTGTACTATATAATGGTAATAATAATTAAATTAATACGTCATTTCAATGCACTATACTCTTATCAACCATAGCTCTCCACCAATCAGCATGTGATAAATTGCTCAGTTATTGCAAAACATGTATTTGACTAACACTCTAACTCAGTAGTAGTCCCATTGGATGAAGGAAGCTTTGTATCTGCATTATACGCTCTCATGTTAATGATGTCGTTAGGTCACCTAATGATGCCATTAGGGATAGCAGTACATGTAGATGGACATTTTTTAACTTGGAATGCTAACAGTCACGAAACATGAAAAGAAAATGGTACACAAGCAGACCACAGAGAGAAAACGACTAATGACTTAAGACTAGGCACCTGCAAACACAGGTGATACAAAGTCAAGGGTGTGTAAAAATACTCCTAAATGACTCCTGATCTACTTCTATGACTCCAAAAACAGTTGAAGCACCCAAAATTCTCCCAAGGTTCCTTCAAAATATCCAAAATAATATACCGTACTTGAAATTATGAATTTTATTCATTAGTTTTTAATTCATTTATTAGTTATTTTAGGTAAAAGATATACCATAATGACATACCATAAGAAACTCCAGCACACAGCAATATTGTGTTACACCATACACTCAGATACAGTCTGAGTGTACAGTGTATTAAATTTGTAGCTGACTATTATAACTTGCTAGTTTAACTTTTCTTAATTTATAAGCTATCCCTCAATGTTAGCAATGTGTATGTAAGTATAATATTTATTTGTTTCTGTAGCAATGTTGTTTATTGTAAGTATAAAGTGAGTTAGTGTGAATAAAGTTGACAAAAAAAAAGAACAACTCAAAAACCCCAGCCATTCCCTGACATAATGTACATGTAACTGGAAAAAAAACAAACTTTTTACTCACTGAAACTGTGTCTGCTATAGCTTTACTTGTGTTCCCCTTATCATCTTTAATGGTGATCGGTCTACCTTCCTTTATTCTTTCTAATGCAGCAGGACAATCCAGCTAAATGTTGGAAAATAAACATCAAATCATTAATAACTAAAAACAATCCAGAAATATCCAGAAGTCTCTGATGATAATATTTTTATTGTTCACACATTAAAAAATTGATTTTCTTAAATTCAGAAAAAAACAGGCTAGCATGGGCAAACCTAATTCTGATCACAAGATAAGTTATTATTGAGTAAGAAGCAGGCTCTGTAGATTGTCAGCTGACTGTTGACTGACTTTTGGTCAACAATCAGCCACTGTTGACATTGTCAGGCAACTGTTAGTTGACAGTTGGTCGGTTGGTTAGGGAGCTGTTCTTTACAATTACTTAAATCTAAAGCTTCTTATGAGGTGCTTGTCACTTGTAGGGGTGAAATGATTCATACTCCTTGCAATTCAATTCAATTTCGATTATTTCTATTCGATTACGTAAATGTTTCTTAATTGTTATAACATAACATGTAATGTTAACAACATGCAACCCTAAACCCTCAATTTGAGAATAGTAACAGGGACAGGAGGATTCACAGTCGCTTGGTTCGTCGCCACGTTTGAGATTCTGACAAAGATGGTTTGCCTTATTTGGAAATTGTCAAGGGGTGGTTGAAGGATAGCATTTTTACCAGGCAACACAAAATGGTGCACGAACTGCTATTGTCTGCACGTCAATCAAAAACGCACATTTTAAAGAGTTCTGAATTCTGATTTTACGATATAATAACTCACTGAGGGCACCCTGGAAAAGGTAGGCAAAAATCGAAGCAAAATCGAAATGTGGAAGCAAGGAATCGAGAATCGAACCGAACTGTCATAATTGTGATTAATTGAGAATTCGATTAATCGTTACACCACTCGTCACTTGAGGGCTGAGAGCATTGTATTCAGCCTCTTTCATAACTGACAAAATAGCAGAAGTATTATAATATTCCAAATCAGCACTTCAAGAATATTGGCCAAAAACAATCATTGATTGCCGACTAAATTTTCATATTTATGAAAGAAAATATCTTGACTCATTTTACTCAAGCAAGTGGATTTTTTCAAGTCTTTGAGAAACTACTGTACTGCAAAACTTTGAGGCCCCATATGACAAGAAAACCTTCATGATTGGGCATATGTCAGTAGAGCTTTCAGTATCTAAAAGTTAACTCACTCTAAATTTCTTCATAAAGGCTTCCACTGTAGGGTAGTCTGCTGATTGTACAAGCTTGAAAGCTGCCTACAATAAAAGAGAATGAATTATATACCGGTGATCAAAGTATTCCATATGTACAACACAAAATGTAAAAATTCATGAAGGCATGAACTGAGGTGAGGCATTAACCTGAGGAGACCTAGCACCAACCCCTCACAAAAAATTAATGACGCAATGTGGCATTCCAATATTTTTAATCTGCTTGGGACAAAAAAATCATTTTTGATCTTAAATAATCAGAAGATTCATAAACTTGGGATTCCAATGTACTTGTACATAAAAATGCTTCATTATACAATGTAAACAGGTTGTCCAATATTAGTATTCACCAAATCAGTGGATGGTGATTTACGTGTGTTCTGATTGGCTCCCTTAACTCGGAATATCCTTGGATATTCACTGTTTTGGGATTCAAAATGGCTCCTCATTTCGTAACAGTTTCAAAAGATAAAATTTTAGAGGTAAATGAAGCAGCTGCACCAGCAATTACCAAAAGGGAGACAAAATTTGGCTTGTTGGCGTTTACTGGTCGGTAGCAAAAAATTTTCTTAATGAATATACAACAAAATTGTAAAAAACGATTCCCAAAACACTGTCAATAATGCAACATAAACAAACTCTAACTAAGTGACATCTTTTATTTACAAAAAGTTCCTTTTTGATTTTTATCCAACTGATTTGGTAAAATTAATACTAAAACAACTATCCCTCTCAGGGTCAGTTAATAGCACTAGATATATACCTTGACGCTTCGCATCTCGGTAATTACTACCACCATTCATCTCACCTTTTGGGGATAGTTGTATAATAGCTCTCATATACCAGGCCAAAATGCAAGGTTATTCATGATCATGTACAGATCTTACCTTATACTGAACCAGTAACTTAGAACAGGCAGCTGTGTACCTATATCATTTAAGTACAGTAAAAAGAGTGATCAGATTATGCATACAACACACAGTCAATGAACTGATAGTTTGCAAATGGAGTCACTTTGTATGTTTCATGTTAATTGCGCCTCATCAGGATATCTTAGTGAAATTCCTTTGACTGTAAGGAGAAAAAGTAAACTATTTGTTGAGCCAAAACATTATATTTAGGAAGTTCAAGATTACAGTACACTAAGGTGACATAGGGGAGATCTTCAATTAAATCTTTGAAACTTCAGCTTGATTATCCTAACTTGCAGGTGAACTCTCCTGGAGTTGAATTCCAAAGGAAAATATCCATGTTCAAAGAGAGAAAAAGAAATTCATTGTCATTTGTTTACAGGATTATGTACAGTGTACATTCTCAATATAACATAAAATGAGGAAGTTTGAACAAATTAGATGTGTAGTGAGCGCATAGAAATGAACCAAATGTTTGTGGCATGTCCAAAGTTGTTGTTTTGCTAATGTTAAATGTGACCCTACAAGCAATTTGGAGGCTTATCCAAATTTCACGCATATGCATACTTTTACGGTCCTGGCTGTGAAAAGAAGATGAATTATATTATTATTTCTCTAACACAATGAACATGCTGTGATAAAGTCACAGGCAACGTGAAATATTTCATGCTGCAAAAAAGTTTGTAGTCTCTGTCAAAATATTTCACATTGTGAAAAAGTTCATTATCATCACATGACTGTAGATACTACTTAAACTGTCTTAGGGATTAAAGGGTCTAAGCATCTACCAAAGAATTCTGTATGACAACAATGACAATGATATGTGCTTACTCTCTTGGTGTTACAACATCTCTGATATATGCCTTCTCTAAACACTGAAGGGTATTAATGATGGAGAAAAGATCTGCCATGTTGTCATAGCTGTAAGAACATAACAAAATTTATTAAAGTGTTATATGAAATCATGAGGTAAACGGAAGGGCCTGTAGGAAATAGGCTGTACATGAACCATTCAATTCTTATAGCCAAACAGATTAGAGAATTTTAATTTTCATTATAATTAGTCCAGGACCTGTAATAAAATTATTAGTGTAAGAGACTTAAGTATCAAGAATAAGCACATATTACTTGTGTATAAACTTACGTCTCCCTTTCTCTTGCATTCTTATAAAGCTTCACCTCCTAAACAGAAAGTACATGCATGCATTTAAGTATATACCGGTAAACAAATTGTCACCATATTGATTCAATGTATGGCTAGCCTACAAGCACGCTCTCTATTTGAAAATGGTAAGAGGAAGGGAGTCACATGTGTAAGTGGTAAGTAAGTCAAAGGAAGGCACAAGAGATCGGAGAAGCCCGATGAAGAGATTGCATGCCTCAATGATTGAAGAGTTCTAACTTCTGCACACTTTAGATAGCCTGATAGCCTGTGAGTAAACCAGTCTCTCTACGCCCTTTTTTCCTAGGGATGTTTCAAAGGAGAAGAGAAATCTGGGCTTCAACAACACAAATGCCATCTCTGTCCAGAATCAGGTCAGGCACTCTGGTTGGTCAACGTACAACCAATGTAGCACAGATAATTTTATTCTTTTAGCTATTGTTTACAAACAGCAGACAAAAGACAAATGTCAATTTTGTTAATGCGATTATATAAAAAAAAATCTTCTGCAAAACAGTCAGTTGAGTATTCATGAAATAAAATAATATTCTTCAGAAGAAGAAATAATTGAGTTTTGCTGCTGCTCTTTGCAGAATTACCCAAAACATTACAACAATAGACCAGAAGTAAACATAAACTCAAAAAAATTTGCATTTGGAACCCGATGATTATCAGAGTAATTATGTAAACATCGATTCATGTCATAAGTATGGAATTTCTGTCATTGAAATGTTGCAGATGTCTCCCCAAGCAGTGAAGAGAAAGGAGAGATGGCTGTATTTTCTGGCTAATGTCTCAAGTCTGAGAAATCTCACGAGCACGATACATGCATATAACTGAATGGGGCTGTGCGCAGTGTGAGAAATGATCAATAAAATTATGCAGGGCAACAGGCCATATAAAATAATGTACCCATGTAACAGATTCATTACCACTGGCTTGCATTATGTACATGCACTATCAAATCCTTGAAACTACAACCCATGACACTGACTAATGCAATATATAAAATCGTGTAAAGTTGATTCTGTCTGGCTGGAAAATCTTTCAACTCCAGACATGTTTCAAATTCAGACCTGCGATGACCAGGGCATTCACTTTTTATGCAAGTGGAGGCAAGTAAATTCTCTGCTCTCTGGAGCTAAAGTGAATGGTGAACTCCCCTGCCCCTGTATGTCCCACACACACAGACTCCCTCTTTTAAAACTGTGTACTAATCTTTTTATCGCCAAGAGCAACAAAGGATGACAAATGATACATGCTGTGAAAGAACACATGGATTTCAGAGCAGCTATTGCAATACTTGCAAACCCTTGATGGAGAAGGAAAATGACAACTACATGTATTTGAAGACTTTAAACTTGAAGTCACAAAATGCAAGATAACCAAAAATACAAATCATGTTTGGTAATCTTTTGGAGTTTTTAGAAAAAGTCTCAATCATTACAAGTGTCTTTCTTGCCATTACATAGTGACTGCCCGGCTTATTCCCTGGTCTTGGAGTCAAAGAACTTGATTGTTAGCATATCTGGCCCCTGCACACTGGAAAAAAAATGAAGTGACTATAAACTAAAAGGACCTGCATAACCTGGGTCATCACCGAGGTGGAGGAGGGTCCAGGGATTTCAAATGACTATTGCGTTATTAAAAAAAGAACGTTCTATAATTTAAGCTCAATACATTACATGTAGATCTTTACCTCATATAACTCTGGCCTCATCGCTGCAAGGTAAAAAGACATTAACAATATAAACATCGAGTTAAACAGCCTATATAACCTTTAACCCTTTGACTCCTGAGCGCGCTTTTACGCGCGCTTCCAAATAAGGTGCACATTTTGTCCCAAAAAAGGGCTCCAAAAGGCTCAATATTTTGTCAAATGACATTTTATGTTTCTTATATGAATTTGTTTATCGTATGATTCCATTTCAATCGGTTTTTCGCCATTTTGGACTTACTTTTTGGCAATATTTCCTCGCTGTGCTAATGATAACCTTAAAAAATGGCGTCAGGCACGAATGGAGTTGATCGAACTATATTCGCAGCACTAGATTTTAGCGATGATTCAGGTTAGGTGAAGATTAGTCCGATTAAATGGACGAAGATACTGGCAACAATTCAGAGCTTGAGCATGTAGATACACGCTGTAGTGGTAAAGAAAATGTTGAAGAAAGAAGGCAAGCAGGCGCTTCGGTGGCCACAAAATGTACACTGTCAACTGTAAGAGATTGCTAAAGGCAAACAGCTCTCCAAACAAACGTTAAGTTAATACATATATATATTTTGAAACCTGATATGTCTACTTTCTAAATATGTACGATTATAGGCACTTTTACCTCAAAGGGAACTTTTGAGATTGTTATTTAGTGTATGTATGTCAAAACTGAAGCAATATCATGCAGAAAACTCAGGAGTCAAAGGGTTAAGCAGAAGGACATAACGTTCAGGCCTCATATGCTTCTGCGTAATTTAATACAGAGAAAACGAGAAATTGTTTACGACCCAAGTACTAAACGAAACGTTGTTTACTTGTTACAGCTTAAGCTTATATCTTCAGGGCTGTCAAAAAGTTTTTAAGTGGCAGGCTGATAACGAATAGTAGGCGGCTTTGGAACTCGCACCAAATGCACAAGTTCTTGAGGACCGAGGCATCTAAGGACATTTTGGAATTTAGAGTCTCGGAAATGATCATCATTATTCGATGGTACTTATTTTTTGTTACCGGTTATGGTAGAAGGAGATGAAAGTAGCCGGCTAAGGATGGCTAACTAGCCGGCGGTTTTGGCCGGCTACCGGCCCTTATTGACAGCCCTGATCTTTCATCTATGCACCCAAGGAAAGCGAGTACAAACCTTGTTGAGAGGGCTGCGTTCCTGATATGCCGGCAAACATTTCCAACTCAAAACGTTCGTTCAATGTATGTTTTTTCCCCGTTCGCTACTTGCCTGACGGGACGTGGGTGAATCACTTTCCTGATTTAGAGCTTCTTACACAACGTAATTTTCGAAAGTACTTCATGTTAGGGCATAATTTAGTCGTCTAACATCCTCGTCGTCCCCAGGTAAGGCCGAGCAGCATTCTACTCAGTTTGGGACGGGTTGTGTTACGACTTACGTGCCCTACAAGACCGATGTAGTGGTCTAATAATTTGCAAATAATTACGCTTTCTCCATTTTGAGATAGTGATATACTGTTATTTGAAGTTGTATGACTGTGTGATCATCTAAGATAAAAAAAGTAGTCCTGAGTGACTAAAACAAACTCTCTACAAGAATTTTTTTTTTTGCTATAAGTCTCTAGATCTTGGCAAGATATAAGTTTATGAAATACCTCTCGCGCTTACGTGAAAATTTGTCATGTGTCGCTACATTTGTTCCCCACTATAACAATTCTAGCCTTGGTCAGGAGTCCATGGTAATAAACTAAAGCTTTGAAATGTTATTAGTAAGTGTATTTTTTTAAGACACAAATTTTTTCTGGAATTTTTTTTGTGCATGGTCACTCAATTAACTTCAGGGGTAAGCCGAATACCAGAATAAGCCAGTCTGTTTACACCCCCCTCCTCCAATCAAAAGTCAAATGATCCCGTTCCAAACTGTGAGGG